CCGGCACCTACCCCGTGGTGAACCCCGGCATCTACAAGTCTCGGGCCCCCCAGTTCTCGATGCAGCCGCGGACGGTGCCCCCCCAAGACCACAGCCAGAACCCAGGACCCGCAGCCTACAATGTGGACCAGGTGACCTGGGGGCCAGGGGCCAAGGGTCAGGTCCGGGGACGTGAGAGCGGGGTCCCGGATGGAGGGTCTGAGGCCGGGTCCCGGATGGAGGGTCTGAGGCCGGGTCCCGGATGGAGGGTCTGAGCCCGGGGCAGGAAGGGGTGAAGGGCGGACAGGACAGGGACCCGGGTGCAGAGCCGCAGGGCCGGTCTGCGAGGTCAGCGGCGTCTCCTGGGCCCCCAGTCCCGGAAGGCCGGCGGCTGGAGCTTCGGGATCCGGCACTCGGACTACGAGGCCCAGACCTTGGCCGAAGTGGATGACTGATGTGCCGGCGGGCGCGGCCCCACAGACCTTTGCTTAAAGCTTCGGGAACGCCGGTGTCCGTGTCCGTCTCTCCGCGCGCTGGGCCCCGAGAGGGCGCGGGGGGATGGGGGAGGCGGCGGGGGGGGGGGGGGGCAGGGGCGGAGGGAGAGGGGGGCGTGGGGCGGGGCGGAGTCTGGCCGAAGGCCCTGCGAGTCCGGGAAGTCTCAGTTCGAGCGGCCTGATTGGCCGGAACAACAACAACAAAAAAAAGCCGCGCCTCATTTTTGCGGTTAGAGCATCCTCCCGGCGCCCAGCTTCCTCTTTCGGTCCGCACTGAGAGTCAACCAATGAGCGCATCAATAAGTAAAGTAATTTTCTGTTTCTCTTTTCCTAATATTCTCCTTAAAAATCCTCCGGTGAGAATAAAATATAAAAATCGCCCTGGCCTGTGTACTCAGTGGTTAGCGCGTGGGCTTGCGCTCCGGGTCGGGGGTCGCGGGTCAGATTCTGATCCAGGGCAGGTCCCAGGAAAGGAGAGGCAGCCAGTGTGTGTGTCTCCCCCCTTCCCTCCCTCTCTGAAAAGCAATGCAAAACATATCATGTGAGGATTAAAAAACACAAATACGTAGTAAATGATTTTTTTTAAAAAAACACACATCATCCCGCCTCCTCCAGGCGGCCATTGGCCCAGAGCCCTGTCTGTGAGGCCCGCCCACCTGCCGCCCCAGGGCAGCCACTGACCCCGGTCCGCCCCGCCCCATGGGACCTGCCCTCCGGGCGCACTGTGGTCGGGGCGGGACCGGGCGGAAGCCGCCTGGAACCCGAAGCAGGAAAGGTAGGGCCGCTGTCCGGACAGGTAGGAGCTGGGGTCCCGTTCTGAGGCTGAGAAGGGGGAGCTGGTCCCAGAGACACGCACGAGGGCAACACAAGGCGGCGGGGGGAGGGAAGGGGGGGACACACGGGAGGGAGGAGCCGCGGACCGGAGGAAGGAACGGGTGGGGTCAGCGCACAGGGCTGCACAGATGAACACGGGCGGGGGCAGGTCCCCTGTGTCCCCCATCCGCAGGCCCGGAGCAATGGCGACCCCGGTAACCCCAGTGGGTGACCTCTGGTCCGGAGGGCTCCAGCGCCCTCCTGACCCACCGCCAGAGCCCAAGCCGCTCCCAGATCTGATCCGACTGAAGCGAGACGGAGGTCGCCTAAGCGAACAGGACATTCAGAGCTTCGTGCGCGCCGTGGTGGCCGGGAGCGCGCAGGGCGCACAGATAGGTGTGTGGGCCCCTTGGGCACTCCTCACTCCAGCGGAGACCTCCCGCCCTCGGCACGCCACCACATCCCTGGGCCCAGGCTAACCCATCCCTGTGAGAGCACCCCTCATGCTGCCCACATCACTGTTCCCCGTGCTTAGGGGCCATGCTCATGGCCATCCGACTGCAAGGCATGGATCTGGAGGAGACTGTGGCACTGACCCAGGCCCTAGCCAACTCTGGGCAGCAACTGGAGTGGCCAGCGGCCTGGCACCAGCAGCTCGTGGACAAACATTCCACAGGAGGAGTGGGTGACAAGGTCAGCCTGGTCCTGGCACCTGCCCTGGCTGCCTGTGGCTGCAAGGTGAGATGCCGCCTCTCCAGAATGGAAACTCAGACCTTAAAGAGGCGGGCAGCTCCCAAGCTTCTCCCCCCAACCCCATTCCCAGTAGCCCCCATAACAGGGCCAAGCTACCTAGCACCCCTTCCTCTTCAGTACCCGAGAAAGGACTCCCAAGGGAGAAGCTGGGTCCTCCTCCCTCGGCAGATTCCAGCGTCCTTCCTCAGTGTCCCCCCAAACCAGGACAATCTCTCCCCCATTCCCAACTCCACCAGTGGACACCCACTACCACGTCTAACTGAAGCTGAAGTCCCAGCCAGGAAAGGCGAGGGAGAGGTGGAGGGTGGCCGTGCAGGGCACTCAGGGTTCCTGTCCAACAGGTTCCTATGATCAGTGGACGCGGCTTGGGGCACACAGGGGGCACCTTGGATAAGCTAGAGTCGATTCCTGGATTCACCGTCATCCAGAGCCCAGAACAGGTACATGGAGGCCACTAACCGGTCACTGACCTGGATTATTGATGGGAACATTAACTAGAATTGCTGAAGGGTCACTGATGGGTTATTAGTTAGGGTCACTAATGAGGATGTTCACCGAAGTTATTCATGGATCTTTGATGGTCACTGGGCTTTTGTCAAAGTTACCAATGGAATTTTGGTTGGAGCCATCAATAGGGACTTGGTAAAAATCACTGATGGGCCATAGGACATTGATTAATTTCACTGAGGGGTTGAGGACTTATCAGAAGTGTTCCTAAGGTACTGGTCATGGTTTTGGACATTTGTCAAGGTTGCTGGGGAGTCGCTTGATCAGGGTTAGTGATGTGGTCACTGACCAGGGGTCACTGACAGTCACTGGGAGTCCTGATGTAAGGGGATCTGGCCAGATGCAAGGTCTGCTGGAGAAAGTGGGCTGCTGCATTGTGGGTCAGAGCAAGGAGCTGGTTCCTGCGGATGGAATCCTGTATGAAGCCAGAGATGTGACAGCAACTGTCGACAGCCTGCCACTCATCACAGGTGACCTGACTCCACACTCCAGGGCCCACCTTCTGCATGTGAAGTGTCTCTGACTTCTGATGGGCCGGTAAAGGGTCCTCTCATAAGGGGGCTGTGGGACCTCCCCCAACCCCAGGGTAGGCATTCCCTCACCACTCAAGAGGGGAGATCTGGCTTAAGCACAACGGTCCAGGCCCTGTGACTCCCATCCTAAGGGACTTGACCCTCAATGTTCAGAGTCCCTGACTCCTTATGCCTGACCCGAGAGCCAGGAGGCCCTGCATCTCAGGAAGCGCCAGCTCTCCGTACCCACAGCCCCTCTGCCTCCCTCGCAGCCTCCATCCTCAGCAAGAAGGTGGTGGAGAGGCTGTCTGCACTGGTGGTGGACGTCAAGTTCGGAGGGGCCGCCGTCTTCCCACACCAGGAGGAGGCCCGGGAGCTGGCAAGGGCACTGGTGAGCAGCCGTGCCCACGGAGCCTGGGCTGGGGAAGGTTGCCCCCTCGGCCGGCCTCCCCTTCATTACCCAGCAGGCGCTCCCTGTGTGCCTCAGCACAGCCACTCGGCAGCCTCGTCACCAGGGTCCCTGCCAGCACCCCACTCCCAGTTCTGCCTTCACCCCCTTCTCAGCGACCTTCTCAGCGACCAAGCAAGGCTGACATGGCCCGGGGCCATGGCTCTCAGCCCCGCCAAGGACAAGGTCTTTCTGACCCCACCTCTGAAGTCAGGCACATTGCCTGCTTCCCCGCTCCCCCCCACTCCACACCCAAACCCTTCTGGGGCCCCCTCACTCCTGGGGAACTGGCACCCAGGCGTGCAGCACCGGCTGGAGTTTGATTACAAGCGGCCCCACAGGGCAGGGGCCACACTGAACCGTGTCTCCGAAGGTTGGTGTAGGGGCAGGCCTGGGGCTCCGGGTTGCAGCGGCTCTGACAGCCATGGACCATCCCCTGGGCCGCAGCGTGGGCCACACCCTGGAGGTGGAGGAGGCGCTGCTTTGCATGGATGGCGCGGGGCCCCCGGACCTGCGGGACGTGGTCACTAGGCTCGGTGAGTGGACCCGTAAGAGGTGTGGGGGTCGGAGCTACAGAATCGCCTCCGCTGCACCTAAACCCCGGGCCCACGCCGGCAGGGGGCGCCCTGCTCTGGCTCAACGGACAGGCGGAGGCCCAGGCCGAGGGCGCAGCCCGGGTGGCCGCGGCGCTGGACGACGGCTCGGCCCGGGACCGTTTCGAGCGGATGCTCGCGACGCAGGGTGTGGACCCGGGCCTGGCCCGCGCCCTCTGCTCCGGGACCCCCGCGCAGCGCCGGCAGCTACTGCCCCGCGCCCGGGAGCAAGAGGAACTGCTCGCGCCCGCGGACGGTGAGCTCCCGCAGGCCCTCCTCCCCCAGCTCCCAGCCCTTCCTGAGCCCTGCCTGCCCCCCGCGCCCCACCCGCCCAGCACGCCCTCCCCGCAGGCACCGTGGAACTGGTCCGGGCGCTGCCGCTGGCGCGCGTCCTGCACGAGCTCGGGGCCGGGCGCAGCTGCGCCGGGGAGCCGCTCCGGTTCGGGGTTGGCGCGGAGCTGCTGGTGGACGTGGGCCAGAGGCTGCGACGCGGTGAGCGCGGATCCCGGCCCCCCCTCACCCCGCAGCCGCCCCGCCCACCCCGCCCGCTAACCGCCCGCCCGCCGCCCGCAGGGTCACCCTGGCTCCGCGTGCACCTGGACGCGCCCGCGCTCAGCGACCCGCAGCGGCGAGCCCTGCAGGGGGCGCTCGTGCTCTCGGACCGAGAGCCCTTCGCCGCCCCCTCGCCCTTCTCTGAGCTCATCCTGCCGCCGACCGACGCGCAGCAATAAAGCCGAGAGCCGCAAAGCCGTGTCCGTGCCTGGTTCGCCGCGGGCGGGCGGGCGGGCGGGCGGGCGGGAGGGCCCCGGGAGGACCCTGAGGGAGGCGTGGCCTCATGTGCGGGGGCGGGACTCGGGAAGCACCGCCCCGCTCGGCACGTGACCTTTGGCGGCCCCGCCACCTCCTGCGCGCACTTCCGGCCGCCATCAGGACGCGCCTGCGCGGCAGCGTTGGCGCGTGCGCACTGGAGTCGAGCGTAGCGACCCGGCGAGGCGCCACCGGCCACGGACCTTGGGGGGACTGAGCGTCCGACATCCCGACGCGCGACCGCCCGAGGTGCGGACCCCCGGAAGCCCTGGGTGCGAGGTTCGGAGGGCGGGCAGGCGCCTGGGGTATGCTCGGCGCGCGGCCTGCAGCGGGGTCCAACTTGGCGCGCGTCTGGAGGGCGCCCTGGAGGGGGCGCCCAGAGGGGCCCAGGGAGTCTCCGCAGGGGCCTTCGCCGGTCAGGCACATCTCGGCAGCGCTGAGCCCATTTTGCAAAGGAGGCGGGTACAGAGAGGCTGAGGGACGTGCCCAAGGTCACCCAGCCCGGAGCCCAAGCCCAGGAATCGTGGGAAGAGGGTGGAGGCCCCTCAGACCCCCACCTACACCCCTCCAGAAAGGCACGGTCCCCGAAGCGACTGCAGGGCTGGGGCCATGCGCCACCAGAGTTGTGGGAAACCCGGGTGTGAAGGATGCGACTTGTGGCCGGTGGGAACCTTGTTTCTCCGTGAGGGAGGGCAGAGACAGACCCGGTTTCTGCTATTGGTGGGGAAAGCTAACCGGTTGGGAAAGGTCAGTCTGTCGTTGAGGGTTGAAGCCACTCACCAGCCTCCTTTCTGAAAAGGGGCTCATTTCATTGCAGAGGTCCACGTGCTCAGGAACCCAGGCAAGCCAGCACTTGGGATGATTTCAGGCGGCTCAGATGCTGAAATACAGGTGAGTGCCAGGCTGCTTGGAGCTGCGGGCCCGGGCCAGGGCGGGCGGAGGCAGAATGAAGCACTGGCCTGAAGGACAGCAGTGACAGGCTGGACTTCTAATTCCAAAGCTGGAGCTCTCAGCTTCAGAGGGGAGATGACTCTGAGCTCAGCAGAGCCCTGGGTGGCCATTTGGGATAGCTTGAGGCTAAGTGTACGGTTGGTCCTTCAGCTGGAGGCCCGTTTCCCAGTGATGGGAGATGACCCAGGAGGCCAAGGCACCTTCCAACTGCTGACATGTTTGCCCTCTTCCAGGAGCATCAGGCCTGCGCTGCTGCTGCTGCTGGCTCAGCGGCCCAAGGCTCAACGCGGGCTCTCCCAGCTCAAGGCCTCCGCCCTCCTGAGGACTCCTGGAGGTGAGGTCCGCCAAGTGAGGTGCCGGCTCTCGTCAGGGCAGGGCCCTGCAGAGACAGGCAGGCAGGGCCAGCCCCGGGGCCCTGGGCTGCGAACCAGGCTGCTGGTCACGGCCTTATTTGGGGCGGGGCTGGGGGGAGTCTGGCTGGCCTTGCGGGCTGAGAAGGAGCGGGAACAGCAGCGGCGGCGGACAGAGGCCCTGCGCCAGGCCTCTGTGGGCCAGGGAGACTTCAGCCTGCTGGACCACCGGGGCCAGGCTCGCTGCAAAGCCGACTTCCGAGGCCAGTGGGTGCTGATGTACTTTGGCTTCACTCACTGTCCCGATATCTGCCCCGACGAACTGGAGAAGCTGGTGCAGGTGGTGCGGCAGCTGGAGGCCCAGCCCGACCTGCCCCCGGTGCAGCCCATCTTCGTCACCGTGGACCCCGCTCGGGACGACGTCGCCGCCATGGCCCGCTACGTGCAGGACTTCCACCCGCGGCTCCTGGGCCTGACCGGCTCTGCCAAGCAGGTTGCCGAGGTCAGCCGCAGCTACCGAGTGTACTACAGTGCCGGCCCCAAGGACGAGGACCAGGACTACATCGTGGACCACTCCATTGCCATCTACCTGCTCAACCCCGACGGCCTCTTCACAGACTACTACGGCCGGGCCAGGTCGGCCGAGCAGATTGCAGACAGTGTGCGGCGCCACATGGCTGTCTTCCGCAGCGTCCTGCCCTGAGCGTCATTAAAGGCTGTGGCGGAGTGCATGTGTGCCTGAGTGTACCAGCTGCCCAGGGAGGCACGGAGGAGGGGCCCAGCACCTGGATGTCGGCTGGGTGCTCTACACAGGAGCCTTTTAAAGGGGTGGGTGGGGTGGCAACACCACTTTATTAGGCTGGGCCAGCCAGGAAGCAAGTGTGAAGTGACCAGACGTGTGCCCAGCATCGTGGGGGGCAGGGCTGCCCACTCAGGGCTGAGCCATGGAGGGGGCGGTGTAGGTCTGGAAGCGCTTGTGGGCCCGCTGGTGCGTGAGCAATCTTAGGGACATGGTGTCCACAGCCGCCTCCAGCCCGGACTGCTGGGTGATCTCTACCGTGTGGTCATTGGCCTGTAAGGACAGGGAGTCAGCAGAGCCAGGGACCACTTCCCGCCCAGGCCCAGGGCCACTCACCAGTTGCAGGGAGGCCAGCATGGCGCGGCACACCTCGAAGGCAGGCTGGCCCGCCACCAGCTTCGCGAAGGGACACCACTGGTTGAGCTGACTGAACCTTGAGACCATCTGGTCCCCATAAAGGTGGATGTCAAAGGGCACGTGCTGCTCCTGCAAGAGGGAGAGCAAAGTCCTGGTCAAACCCTGCAGCATTGGGGCTCCGTGCCCGAGCAGAAGCTGGCCCCGTCCCCTCACCTGCTCCTGGAGCAGGGGCTGGATGCTGTTCTCCCAGTCCCTGACCCGCTGGCTCAGCTCCGTCTCCTGGACGAACTTCTGAGACGTGGCGATGAAGAGCTCCTGGGGAGGACGGGAGCTGCTGCCTCTGTCGGCATCACCCAGCCCCCGCTGCCCCCCAACCAGGGCCTACCACGTTCTTCCGGACCAGCTCCTCGTAGCTCAGGGATGCCGGCATGGCCTCTGCTTCTGGAGGAGGAGGGCAGCAGGAGGTGTAGGCCACACCCTCCCTCCCTCTCTCCCATCCTTGGGCAGCCTCACAGGACCTGGCCAGCACCCACCCTAGACCTACCCAGGTCTGCAGCGTCCTCGGGCTTTGCCCCGTCAGGCTCTGCGTATCCTTCGGGCTCTAGAAAGTCATCTGCTGGGAGGTGGGGTGGTACCGGCAGGAGGCAGGTGAGCAGGCAACCAGTCCTGAGCCCCCTTCCTCCCACCACCCTGTGAGCACCCACCTGCTTCCCCCAGCTCCTCCAGGGAGTCTTCCAGGCGGTCCTCCTCCACAGGCCACAGCTCCTCCTCAGCCCTCGGCAGCCACCGCTTAGCTGCCTGTGCAGAGAATGTGTGAGCCGCTGCTGCCTCCCCCCACCCAGGGCCGGGAGGCCAGTGGCAGGTACTTGCCTCCCTCCTCTGCAGTTTCCGGAGGGTCTCCAGCTGCTCCCTCACATGTTTCCAGTACAGGACCTCCATGTCTACACACAAAAGCCTTGTGAGGGGGAACCCACATCCTGCCTAGACCACTCCGGTCCACCCAGGCCTTGGGCATCCCCAGACGGAGAGGAGGAGGGCAGAGCATTATCCCTCAGAGGAGCACCCTGGGCCGTCGTACCTGCAAAGGATGGGCCCTTTTTCCGGAGCCTCCTGCTGTCAGCATGGTCAGCATCTGCGAGAACTGGGTCGTCAGGAGCCAGATCAAGTCCTTTCCTGCCCCCCTTGCACCCTCTTGCCCTGGCCTGGCCCAGGCCCACACACCCACTCACAGGTGGCCAGGTACCACTGGTGGAAGTCCTGCAGCTTGGTGGCACCCTTCCTCTTGCGCTTCTGTCCCGGAACCTCCTCCACACAGGCAGGCACGGAGTAGGGTCTGCCTGGGGGGCAAACGGACTGTCTCGGGCACCACTGCAGGCCCCGGGGAAGATCCCAGTGCCCACTCCCCCTGGGATCCATCACACGAGGAAGCACAGCCCCACCAGGCTCCCCGTGGGTATAGGGCACACCCCACTCACCACCCGTGCCCCCATGAACCCAGCCAGACACTGGGTATAGCTTCCCCTCTACCCAATTACCTTTCTTAAAGGGCTTAGAGTCCAGGGAACTGAAGGGGTCCAGGCTCTGCCAGGGGTCTGGGGTCTCCTAAGCACAGAGAACAAGTAGGTTCAGGGAGAGGGGGGGACACACACCCTTCCCCCAAGGCCAGCACTGAGGGCAATGACGGCCACGTGGATGCCAGGCCACGTGGAATCCAGGACCCAAGGGTGGAAGGGCCTCGGCAGGTAGCAGTGAAGACATGGGTGGTGAGGCCTCAGGCATACACCCTCCCTGCTAGTGGGGTCAGGGATCTGAGCCCCACCACCTCACCTGCAGCTGGTTCACAGGCTCCAGGGCATCCTGCCTCTCCCTCAGCTCAAACCTCCTGGGCTGGGCAGTGCTCTGCAAAGAAAAAGCCCCAGGGCGTCCCCTCCTTTGCTCTGGGGGCAGATATGTTGCAGGAGGCCGGAGGCAAGGACATAGACTGGAATCTACCCACCATCCCCAGGGCCCTCCAACCCAGAGCATCTGAGCAGGAATGTCAAATAGTCCAAGGGCTAAAGGCACACTGCTAGGATAGGGAACAAAACAGTAACAGGCTGCTCTGCAGGGAGGGAAGGGATGAGGGCCGCTGCCCGAGAGAGCTGGCTAGGAGGCGTGGGCTGCGGCAAACCCAGGGCTTCTCCGATGCACGGCTCAGCTTTGCAGGCCTCGGTGCGCGCCCACCTGCTGCGGGCTCCTGGGCTCCTGGGGGGCCGCGGGGAGCTCCGCCCCCTCTGCATCCTCGTCCTCGTCCCCGCCTCCGGGCAGTGGGTCTTCTGGGGACGGGCCTGGGCAGAGGAGCAAGAGACCTGTCAGCCTGGAGGAGCCCAAAGACTAGGCTGCAGGTGAGGGCTGCCCCTCTGGGCCTGAGGCCCTCCCCGTCTCAGCCTCTTCGTTGATTAGACCCAGAGACAGGAGCACGGCGTTTCACACTCGACGTGCTGCTGTGCCGTTTGTTTCTTTTACTTCTTAGCCACCTTCCTCTTTAAATGCTGCCGTCTGTCTGCCCAGAGGAAGGGGCAAACGGGGCAGCGGGCAGAGTGGGGACAAGGCCTGGGCACACGGGACCAGTTCCAAGGTTTCACGGCTCCCATGCCGCCCCAGCACAGGCATGAGGGGTGGGCAGCCTGGGTCGGTTGAGCACAGAGCCCTGTCCCCACCCCCACCAGTGGGTCCACCAGGATGACCTCTTCTCACCTGGCTCCTGGGAGATGCCGGGCACAGGGACCGGACTCCTGATCACAGAGACTTCCATTGGCTGCGCCTCAGCCCACCCAGCCTCTGGAAGAGAGGCCGTGAGACAGGGAAGCCCAGCCCCTCCCCATAACTCTCCCAGAGACCAAGGGCCAGGGCTGGGGAGGGAGAGCAGGGCCCTGCTCTGAGCCAGCTGTGGGCAGACAGGGGTGGCAGCAGGACTAGCTCCAGCAGGCCGGCCTGGGGCAGGTGACTGGGGAGGAGGGTCCTGGGGACCAGAGATGGTGGCACAGGATATCCAGTAAGGAGCCCAGCCTCGAGACCCTTCTTTACCACCAGGCCCCACACCGGAGCCCTCACCCGTCCTGGGCAGCAGTGTCTCCATGGGGGACAAGCCCACTGGCTCCAACATGAAGGCTCCTCGGGGGTGAGGGGTGCACGTATTCATCCTAAAATCCTTCCGACTCGCCAGGACCTCCCCCTGACAGCTGTGCTGGCAAAAACACAGCCTCTGTAAAGACCGCCCCCAGCAGCCGCCCTCCCCCCCAGGCCCAGGCCCGCACCTGTACAGGGGGTTGTTGTTTTTGTCCATCTCATCCAGGGCTACCAGGGCCATGGGCAGGAGGGGGACGATGGTGACCTCCTGCACGGGGGCCCAGAGTGAGTGAGCGTGGGAACCAGATGGATTCCCACACTCTACAAGCAGCCCATCAGCTACGTTCAGCCCCACCTACGGGGGAGGGCACTCACACCAGGGGCCTGCTCATTCCTCAGGTCCACGTTAGCACGGGTGTCGGGCAGGTCATCCAGCGACAGGAACTGTGAGGGGACAGTGAGCTCAGCAGCAGCACCCAGCAAGCACCCAGCAGGCAGCAGCCAGGCGCCCAGGAAACCCACCTCGTCCTCCACCTGCTGGGCGGCCCTGGAGCTGGCGTCCCTGCTGGCCCCGTCCTCCTGCGCCTCGAGCTGCCTGGCCCTCCTGGGAAAGATCAGTGTTCGGAGGCTGCAGGGGCTTCCCCAGCCACACGCAGGGCGCGGGCCTCCACCTCCTGGCTCGCGCCTCCTGGACTCACCTCTTGCCAGAGATGAAATCGAGGGCCTGGTAGACCAGTGAGTAGAGGTATTCAACCTGGAGGCCAGAAGCGGAGGTGAGGACACAGAAAGGAGCCTACCCACAATCCCCAGGGCCCTCCAACACAGACATCCATGCAGGGAAGCCGGCTGCCACTCCCAAACCTCCAGCCCAGGTCCTGCCATCGAGAGCACTTCTCCGACTGACCAGAATTGCTCTGACAGCTGAGCCCTCCTCCCCCACTCTCAAAGCTGTGCATCCCGCCCTGCGCCTCTGTGCACACCTGCCTGCAGGCGGTCCATTCCCTGCCCTGGCCTCAGCCCACCACTGCCTCCACCGCCAGGTACCACTCCAGCCACGACCGAGGGTCCCCACCCTTAGGGTGAGGGTGGGGATTTGGAGATGCTGACCACAACCCACCACGAGGGGGCGCGCCTTCTGCCTCTGGGCCACTTCCTCTGGGTGAACCCCCTTTTCCCCCACTCCTACACTCCCCTCTCCTGCAGAGCACACACAGCCCTCTGCTGGAGGGGGGTGTGGTCTTTTCTTTCATGCACTGGACACTGATACAGTAGTGAGCAAGAGACTCCACTTAATAGGAATAATAAACGTTAACTCTTCTAAGTGTGTGCCACACACAGAACCTTGTTTCACGCTTCATCTCACTTAACCTGTCTGAATCGGGTGCCACTACTATCCTCACTTTATGAGACAATAAACTCAGGGCGCACTCTCCCTCCCTCTCCTTCCCCCACAGCAGGCCTC